TTTGATAGTGCATTATCTCATAATTCTGTAATTCGATTTTGATGAATATTTTGGTAATAAAATTATTTAAAACAAACCAGTAGATTAAAAACTATTTAGCTTTGAAGTTTTTAAAAAATAAGCTCTACTTATAAATTCCAAAAATCAGCCTATATGTATAAAAAATAATTATTATTCACAATATATCTATATATGTATATAAAATTATTTGCAATATATAATAAAAAAAATTTTATTATTAGGCCATGCAAATAAAATTAATTGGTTCTCATAACATCTTAAGACCCAAGGGCACCCGGATATTATTGCTATAATCTAAAAAAATGTTATATAAATTTTTTTAGCTGTGGCAACTTATGATCGACCAATCAAAATTGATCACATAACAAAGTTTGAAACCAGTCTATTAAAATTGAGGTTTAATCAGTTTTGACTAGTTTAACAAATTCAAAACTCTCACATTAAATATTTTTTATTAAAAAGTCAAAAATAAATTACTATATGTTCGCCTAAATATTAAATACTATATAGCTAATTTTCATATATTAAAAGAATATTCGTATTTTATTTATTTATTTTTTTTAATTTTTTTACTTTATTATTAGCCCCAATGCCTAATACAAACAATGGATATTTCACAACAAGTCTCAGAAAAGCAAGACAAGAAGAAATGAATGAATATATATCCCAAGTCAGCAGAAAAAAAACCATACTCTTGAAGAAACTTATCAAGGACGAAATTAAACCTGACTGAGCAAGCCAAGACCCATAGATGAAAACATACAAGAAACATATCAAAACTGTTGAACTCAGAAATGTTTAACAAAAAAAAAAACTCCAAAAACTCCAAAAATGTGAAATCAACGAAAGAACAATCACTCTATACTAATGAAGAACCAGACCAAGGCTTATCAAGACTACTCCAAGCACTAGGCCCCTGAAGTGAAAACAATGCCCAGACTATACTAACAAAGAGAACTTTATGAACAGCAAATCTATGTTCACAAGAATGCTGAAATGACAAAACTTAAAGAACAAACAAAAAATTGTATAGAACTATAATCTAGAACATCAAAACAATAAATACCAGAAATGGCCCTTACCCCAAAAACACTTGAATTGACAAAGATCCTGATACCAACTACAACGACGAAGTCCACGAATGACGATTCCAAGAATTAATGATAATGGCAGTTTTAAGATCAGTGCTTAGCCTGGCCATCAAATTAGCGAGAACACTATCTAGTCAAATCACTACCACAAGAACTACAAGAACTAGTGAAAAAGATTAAAATTGTTTTAGTATTAGTTGTAATGAGAAATAAAAAAAACAAAGTAGACAAAAAAACAAACTACTTATTTACTTCTGTACTTATAATCATTAGGAGTGTGTAATAGAGCCAGATCTAGACCTGGGTGTATAAAATAGAGATCTACAAAAAAAAAAATTGCAACAAAAAAAAAATATAATAAATAAAAAAAATAAATATAATAAATAAATAAATAAAATAAATATACTGTAATAAATAAAAAAAAACCAAATCCAGGTAAATATATCTAATAGATAATTTTTAATAAAACTTCTATATACTATATAAAATAACATTTGACTTTTTTAAAAAAATCCACCTAGCCAGGTTACGAGAACCAATTTTATTTATTTGTGCGGCCTTATATAAATTATTTTAAAAAAAATTAATTATTTAGCCAAAAATTAGCTTTTAGCTAATTTTCTGAACCAAAAAAATCCAGATTACTGTATATATATTAAAATTATAGAGGTGTAAATGAACAATCCTAATCTTGTAATTTCTTATAAGTTCTATTAAGTCTTTCTGTAAATATATATATTTTTAGAATAATAATTTATATAATATATATAACAAAAATATAGTATATATTTCTAATGCTATAAAGTATTTCAAATTAGACTCAAATAGAGGTAAGCTTGGGTTATCAATTAACAATTTTGTTGTATAGAAAGGCTATGATTAATACAATCTATTAAACTATAAATTTACAAAATATATCTGTACAATATTATCTATAGTTTTAATAAGTAAATTGGTACATAATATTTGTACATTAGTAAAATATACTAACGTAAACTTACGCAAGTTATTACACCCCAAAATATTGCGCAATAATTACGGTCTAGACATAATATTGCACAGAAAATTGTGCAATATTGCGCAATATATAACGTAATATTACGAAATATATTACGCAATATTACGAAAAAATAGCG